TAATAAAATTCAAAGCCCCCCAAAAAAAGACCAGACTTACCAGTCAGAAAGAGACCAGAGGAACCCCTGAGACCATTGCCCTGAGAAAACCAAACTTGAAACTGAAGACACTACTGGAGGCCACCTTCCAGCCAAATAATAGCTGGGACTATAAAACAAACAATGTAAAGAATGCACTCCTCAGAACAGTCTGCACAGGAGACCAAAAGGCAACATTTGCCCAAAACCAAAGATGAGAAAGACAGAGAGGGACAGGGAAACTGGACGAATGGAAATAGGGAACCCAGGGAGGAAATGAAGAGAGCTGACACATTGTGGGGATTGCAACCGATGTCACGGAGCAATTGTATATGAACTATTGATTGGGAAAACTAATTTACTCTCTAAACTTTCACCTAAAGCACAATAAAATAATTTTTTTAAAGTATTAGCTATTAGGGAAATGCAAATTAAAACCACAATGACTTGTGATGAAAATGTTTTGTATCTTGATTGTGATGGTAGTTACACAGAACTACAAAACAAAATAAGTCAGTTGCTATCAAGTTAATTCTGACTAATGACAATCCCTTGTGTTTCAGAGTAGAACTGAACATACAGTTTTCAGTGCCTGTGACCTTTCGGTTGTAGGCCAAACCACCTAGCAGCACTGCAGAAGAAAGGCTTGGCTGTTTCTTCAAAGAAACTCTATAGAGCAGTTTTACTTTGTAACACATGGGGTCGCCATGAGTTGGAATTGACTCAGTGGCAGTGGGTTTGGGGGTTTTGGTTTTAGACTTTTGGGAAGTTGCCATGCCTTTCTTTCAAGGCACCTCTGGATGGATTCAAACTGCCAACCTTTTGGTTAGTATCTGAGCACTCAACCGTTTGCATCACCCAGGGACTTGCACGCTGAACTGCACACATGATAAAATGCCACACACTGATGGTGAAATCTCAGTGAGTTGTGTGGATTGTACTAATGTCAGTTTCCAGTTGTGATACTGTACGGTAGTTATGCAAGAGGTTACCATGGAGGGAAACTAGGTGAAGGATACATAACACCTCTGTGCACATTTTGTTTTGCAACTTCTTGTGAATCCTTAAATTATTTCAAAGTAAAAAGAAGGACATATAAACCTATGTGGGGCTGAGATGGACAACGAAGGGAAGACGTTGATGGGGGAGGCAAAGGCTTCTCTGGACAGGTGATGTTTAAGCTGAGAGTAGAAAGATGAGGAGGGACCAGAAAAGGTCCATTTAGCTGTACCCTCTGTGGTGGTTAAGTCGGTGTATCAACTTGGCTGGGTCTGGTTGAGTGGCTGGGTAGCTAGATGTAGTTATTCCCCATGGTGAGATTGGTAATTAACTTCATGGTGGAATCTACTGGAGCAGTTGAGTAGCCGCTTTGGGTGATGGGGTCTGCTTCCTGTATATAAGAAGCAGCTTTGGGAATGGTCTCCAGCTTATAGCATGCTTGAACCCTGCATGTAAGTGAGTTGTTGTTCAGCAGCCTGCCATGCTCTGCTGACCTTGGGACTTTCAATGGACTTGAATTAATGGCCTGCCGTGTGGTTTGGTAACATCAGGACTGTGCCATTTTATTTGTCGACCTTGGGCTTGTCAGTCTCAGCAGCCAGTAGCTGCCTGAGTGAAGAGATGCCTCTAGCTTCAGTGGGCTGGGAGCAAGAGGCAGAGCTGAAGCCAAAGTTGAGGGGTTTTCACACAACCCCTAGAACCTAGCACTTTGAATTCGGACTTCTAGTCTCCCGAAGTGTAAGAGAATAAACTCCTGTTTGTTAAGGCCATCTCATTGGTGGTATATATTTCCTGTCAGAGTGGCAGTAGGTAACCAGAACACCCTTTCCTTCTCACAAGAAAACTCCACCAGAGAAGCCACCTGGCCAGAAATGTTTGGAAGACCACTGAACAGACCAGTGCTTGCGAGGAATGTCTTGCTTTTCTTCCCAAAACCTAGTGACTTCTCCTTCCTACAACATACTGGGTTGATTGTCTTCTTTCTTCTTCCATCAGCCTGGACAAACTGCTTGATGCTGGTCTCTACACTGGAGAAGTGACTGAATTTGTAGGAAGCCCAGGTAGCGGCAAAACTCAGGTACACATGAAGCCAGCAGCCAGGAAGAGCGAGGAGGTGGATGCTTAGCTCTGGGTCCCTGGGGGAGCTTCTGCCAGCTTGCTCATGGGTACAGAGCTGGGTAGAGACGCCATGGGCTGGGAATGGGGACTAGACTGGCCTGTTAGTGTTGCCAGGATCTGTGCAAGATTTGGTGGGGAGCCCCGATTCTGGACCTTCTCTGAGGGCTCAAGTCCTCCCAGTCCTCCTGGTCTCTTGTCAGGTATGTCTTTTTGTGGCTGCCAATGTGGCCCACAGCTTGCGGCAGAATGTCCTATACATTGATTCCAGTGGAGGGCTGTCAGCCTCTCGCCTCCTTCAGCTGCTTCAGGCCCGAACCCAGGATGAGGAGGAACAGGTAAGGGCAGGAGGGCTCGGTTCTGGAGGAGGTTCTGGCACGGAAAGACTCCATTATCCTTTACGTTGCAAGAAATCTTGGCCATTCAGTGACAGTCGCTTCTTGCTTTATAACTTACACTGTGCTGTTAATACTTCTTATATTTTGTAAGCCTCCCTGTTAATGCCATCATCCCAACTTGGATGCTGCCTACACCAGTTCTTCCAAGAAACTTCCTCACTCCTTACATACGCTAGACCAGGGCTGGCAAACATCCAGCATCTGTTTCCAGTCCATTTCTTGTACATGGCGGACATCACTAATCAGTCATGTCACTCTTTCCCGCTGAGCTCTGACTTAACTTTACAATTTGGTGCCCAGGCAGGCACTATGTGAGAACTAGCTTGTTAGACAAAGCCCATTTGGTGTCTTAGACCTAAGTTCTTGCTTCTGCTTTACCTCTTCTTTCTCAGCCTTCCATATTCCTCTTCCTCTCCTCCGTGACACCTTATGCTTTTTTATCCAAAGCCCATGTTTCTCCCACCCCCCTTCAGGCAGGAGCTCTCCAGAGAATCCAAGTGGTGCGTGTGTTTGACATCTTCCGGATGCTGGACGTGCTGCAGGACCTCCGAGGCACTGTGGCCCAGCAGGTGAGCCTGCTGTTCGGCTCCTTCCTGCTTTAATTTAGCCAGTTTGCCAGGTGCTGTCTGTGTACAGGCAGGTGTCCTATTCCAGACTCTGTTTGGAAATGCAGATATAAAATCTGTGACTTCAGCTGTGATTGCTACTTCCAGGATGGAGCTCCTGAGTGCTTAATTCACATACCTCATTTTTAAATGTCCATCTTCCTGCTAAACAGAGGAGCCCCTTGAGAGCCTGTATCGTGTGTTACTCATCTCTGCATTTATGCTGCATCTCTGCTGGATCAGTTAATATTTTCAGCTGAAAATAACAGAGGCTGTCTGACAGACTTGAACCTTGAGGATATTTTATTACCTCATATATGAGTCTGGAGGGTGTTAAGTCCACCCTATCAGGGCACTGCCTTGGTAGGTCTTATCCTCTGGCTCTTCCCTTCATGATTACAAAGTAACTGCGGTGGCTCCAGGCATCATGTCTTCACACATCCATGTCTATTTCCAGGGAAGTAAGAGAGAGATGGCTCTTTTCTGCACCTTTCCCCTTTTATCATGGAAATATTTCTTCAGAACCCACTAACAGGCCTCCCTTTTCCCTTGCATGTATGTAGTTGGCCAAAACTGAGTTACATGTGTATCTTAGACCAAGGGCCGGGTCTATCTTCCCCAAAATCAGAAGATTCCCTTTAGTACCTGAATATATGCAGAATCCTGTTACCAAGGAAGGGGCATTTAGAATGGCATTTGTATTGGTACCTGTTTACTAGGTACTTATGCAGGGTTGGGTCCCCTGGGTTATAGACTATTAGATTTGGAAGACAACTTAGAATAGTTTATCTCAATTCTCTCATTTCAAAGCATAACATGCTCTCATGGGCCTATGTACATAAAGTAAATCATTTTGCAAACTTCATAACTGGTAATAGTTGATCATATTACTTGTCATGGCAGTCATAGCTGGTTGTGACTCACCGTGTTGACACATGAAGTTGAGGAGTGCTGAGCTAATCTAACCCTTTTGTTTTTAGAGATGAGGAAAGTGAGGGCCAGAGAGGTTAAGTGAGTTGTCCAAAAGTCACCACATATTTAGGACAAGAACTAAACAGAATTCAAATCTCTCAACTCCCAGGTGAGAAGACTATATGTTTTTTTCCATTGTAGGACAATTAGATGGTATGTTTTCTATTAATACATAGATCATAAACTCAGTGGCTTAAAAGAACACATGTTTTTTAATCTCATGATTTCTGTGGGTCAGCAAGCCAGGCTCCAGGCATGGATTAGCTAGGTCTCCCACTTAGGGTCTCACAAATTTGCAATCAAAGTGTTGGCTGGGTTGTGCTTTCATTTGAAGGCTTGACTGGGGAGGAAACCACCTATTTGGGCAGTTGTTGGCAGAATTCACTTCCTTGTGGCCATAGAACTGAGGGCTGCCACTGTTGCTGCTTTTAAATATTTTGCTGTGTTTTTGATGAAAGTTTATATAGCAAATTAGGTTCCTGTTTAACAATTTCTGTACATACTGCTAGGAGCTCTGGTGGCATAATGCCTAAGGCATTTGACCACTAACCAGAAGGCTGATGGTTCAAACTCACCAGCCACTCCTCGGAAGGAAGACTGGACAATCTACTTCCGTAGAGATACCACCTTGGAAACCCAAGGAGAGGTCACTATGAGTCAGAACTGACTCCACGGCCCTGAGTTTGGGTGTTTTTGGTTATGCATACTGTTCAGTAATGCTGGTTTCTTTTTCCACGCTGTGTCAACATTCTCATTCTTTCTGTTCTGACTGGTTGTTTCCTTAGTCTAGCTTCCTTGTTCCTCACCCTCCAACTTTCTCATCTTTTTTGTGTTAGCCTCCCACCATCCAAATTGGGGGAGGAGGGAAATAAAAGCATTGCTGAAATTCCTTGATTCCTGTGCAGCTGTATTTGGGGTTGTTAGGTGCTATTGAGTTGGGACTCATAGTGACCCTATAGGACAGAGTCAGACTGCCCCATAGGATTTCTTAGACTGAAATCTTTATGGGAGCAGATCACCAGGCCTTTATCCCTTAGAATGCTGGGTGGGTTCATACTGCCAACCTTTTGGTTAATAACCAAGTACTTCACCAGTGTGCCACAAGGGCTCATTGTACTTGGGGAAGAGGGAGTTTCTTACTAGTTTCTGGTAGAGCAGCAAGCCTGTCCTGGAAAGGGTGCCCCCTGGAGGCCAGTTGGCTCATGGCGCCTGCTTCTCCCCCAGGTGATCAGTTCTTCCGGGACTGTGAAGGTGGTGGTGGTAGACTCGGTCACTGCAGTGGTCTCTCCACTTCTGGGAGGTCAGCAGAGGGAAGGTGAGTGGTGTGGCAGAACCCAGGGTCAGAGGGATTTGATCCTGCCTCCAAGCTCTGGAGTTGGTCTCTAGCCAACCTGTCCCTAAGCCCCTGCCACCCTACCCCTCTGCTTCCCTCTTCCAGTCCTGGCCTTGATGATGCAGCTGGCACGGGAGCTGAAGACCCTGGCCCGGGACCTCGGCGTGGCAGTGGTGGTGAGGACATAGGCTTGGCCAGCTGTGCCCGGTCTCCTCCCTGATCCTTGCCTTTGCAGAGGGAAGAGATGAACTTGATTTCTAGTTGTAGCACTGTATTTCCATTAAATGGTTGCTGAACCCTCAAAGTACCCTTTAGACAGCGGTCATAGTCCACCTTCTCTGGGTCATCTGGGGCTCTGGACAGTGAGGAGATTGGATCATAAATAGCCAAAGGGATCAAGGATAGTCTTGCTTTTTATTTATTTTTTTGTCATGTTTATTGAGGTATAATTTACATGGAAGAATTTCTCCCTATTTGAAGTTTGTCTAATGGATACGATCATATGTAGTCTTGTTACCACCACCACAATCAAAGGTATGGAATAGTTTTATCATCCCAGATAATTCCTCTAACTCCAGGCAACCACTCATCTCTTTTTTGTCACAATAATTTTTACCTTTTTGAGATTTTCATATAAATGGACTTTTTAACTTTTCCATGTATGAAGTAAGTTTTTAAAAGTATATGTTTTTTATAGGAAGGATAAATATATAAGATTAAAATCTGTAATCATTCTCTACACCCACTGAAACTATATTAATATTTTGATATCTCTCCATAGAATATTTTTCTCTGAACATAATATGTATATTTTTAATCTATTTTGTAACTAAACTGTAACCTTGTTTATTATTATTTTTTTAAATCTCAGTTTTTAAACTGAGCATCTTTAAGAATGTCTTTTTTAGCAGCTACATATTATTTTGTGCAATGCCTGTATCAGAGAGGTCGGCAAACTTTTTCTGTAAAGAGCCGGTAAATGTTTGAGGCTTTATGACCATATGGTCTGTGTGGTACTTACCCGGTTCTGCCATTGTAGCGTGAACGCAGCCATCGACAGTGCAAGTGCATAAACAAAAGGTCATGGCTATGTTCCAATAAAACTTTATGAACAAAAACTGTTGTCAGGCTGAATGTGACCTGTGGGCCATAGTTTGCTGACCCAATTTCCTGATCAGTAGACCTTTATGTCCTGACCCGTTGTTTTCTTATATTATGTCCTCAAGAAAAATTTATAAAAGTATAATGGGCAGGGATACACTTATCTTTAAATGTCTAGATATACATTTCCAAGTTTCCAGAAAAGCTATACTAATTTGCGTGCCCACCAGAATTGTAATAGGATCTGGCTTCCTGTTCTTTTGTTTTATTAGAAGATTCCAGGGCTTCCCCCTCCCATCTTCAGGATGTATGCAAGCACCTGCTGTGGTGCCAGGCTCTGGGGTAGGTGGTGGGATTCAGTGGTCAACCAGACACAGCCCCTGCTCTTGGGAGCTCATTGAGGATGCTCTGAGGTTCAAGTTGTTTACGTCTGACTAGGCTTGGGCAGAGTAGAGCTGACTGACTAGATTTGGATCCCCCCCCACACACACACACAAACACACTCCCAGATGCACAGGATTGGCTGGGCATGGTCTCAAGAGGCCCATCTGTTGGGTTGGGAGTATAGCAGACTCAAACCCACTACTGACTTCTTAGAAAAGTCAACATGGTGTTGCTTATTCCTAGACATGTGCCCCATTGCCCTCTGCTTGGGGTCAAGCATGAGACCTCATGGTTTACTAGAGTGAGGTAGACACAAGTCAGGAGCCCTGGGTCTGGTTCCAGACCTGCTGTTCATAAGTTATGGGGCCTTGAGGAAGTCATTTCGCTGCTCTACACCTCAGTTTTCCCATTTGTAAGATGAAGCTATAGGAATAGGTGTCCCCTCTACTACATTACAGATCTGTGAGTCTGATTCTGCCATAGGTGACCAACCACGTGACGCGAGACAGAGACAGTGGCAGGCTCAAACCTGCCCTCGGACGCTCCTGGAGTTTTGTGCCCAGCACCCGGGTTCTCTTGGATGTGGGAGATGGAGCAGGCACATCAGGCAGCCAACGCATGGCATGCCTGACCAAGTCTCCCCGTCAGGTGAGCCAGCTCCATGGGGGAGCCAGTAGTCTGGGCAGTGGGGCGTGGTTTCCATGAGCACAGGTGTTTATAGAGGAATTTTTAAATACTGAAATCCTGCAACTAAAGAGGCTGCCCCTTGGGTTGCATAATTCAAAAGCGTACCTTTCCTTAGGAGACACTGAGCTTCTGTCAGGGGTAACAGATAATTTAAGAACAGATAAGAGTGATATTTGAACAGCCTGATAAACCTAATTAATGTCACTGTACATGTGGAGATTGTTGAAATGTCAAATGTTTTGTTACATATATATTTGCCATTATCCAGCCAAGAAGGAAAAAAAACAACAAAACTTACCTTTCCCTCCTACCTCTTCCAGCCAACAGGAATCCAGGAGGTGGTAGACATCGGGATTTGGGGGACTACAGAGCAGAGCCCGGTGCTAGAGGGTGATCAGACATGACTGGCGCTATTGACTGTGAAGCAGGGCACATCGAGGCCCCCCACCTGCCCTACCCATGAATCCTGTGCTCACCACCACCCAGCACTTGGGACTGCAGCAGCAGCAGCATCAACGGCAACTCTCAGGCTGGCCAGAGGACTCCTGGACACCCCCAGTGAGTGGGGAAGAAATGTTTGGATTCCTGAGTTTCACCCTCTGCAGGAGCACACTGACATAGGCAAGAGAAGATGCTACAGTGGAAGGACCCAGAAGTGCATACTGGTGCCTAGTTTCCTTCCTTTGTCTCTACCATATATGTTTCCAGTGAGAGCTGAGTGCATCCTAGGTTGGGCATCTCTGAAGAGGCATGCTAGTGACAGTGGATGACCTTGTGTGTCACCATCTGATTTCACATTCAACCTGACACAGTGACTGAGTCATGAGGCCTCTAGCCTGCCTTTGTTTCTCTTCTTCGTCACCTTTTTTCCTCTGTCTTCTTTCCATCTGTAAGTTGGGGACCCTTTTCCCTTAGCTCTGTCTCTGAATTACTGGGTGGAAATAGCCTCATAAATGCAAAACTCTTCCTTATATGTTCTGCTTTTAAAAGTATAGGAAGGAATTTCTTTGAGGCCCAAAGCCATCTCATTTCCCCCCGGTGGTTGTTTTCCCCACCTGGCCCCAAAGAACGGTCCTTCCTTCTCCCCTCCCCCTCCCCTCCCCTTCCCTCCCCTCTCTTCTCCTGCTTTGGTTTCACACACCTGTACAAATCACCCTGACTAGGTGAGAACGTGAGCTCCCTGCAGTCCCAGGGATATAATTTAACAGGAAGGGAGGATGTGACCTGCTCTTGGTGAATCCAGCCACTTGTTTGATATGCATGGTACCCTGTGGGGCCTCTCCACAGTATAGAGTAACCAGAGGTGCTGAACCATGGCCTTGCCCATAAACAGACAGAGGGGAATTTGCACAGTAAATAGAGCCAGCTAGGAAAATTGATGCTGGCATAAATAATACATAGCAAATTTAGTCCTTTATGCAGAAATTCATTGCTGGTGGCTCCAAGATGCAATATAATTACACCTCTCTTCCTGCCAGCTGTATCATAGCCTAACACCCTAGTGTATGAAATAACCCCCCTGTCTGTTACCAGCACTGTGGCCATCCGTCTGAGAGCCCTACCCTGGCTGGAAGTGGAGGATGACACCAGAGAAGGGAAAATAAAAGGCAAAGTGGAAAAGTGATCGGGATTGCTTGCGGACCACATTTTTTAAAAAAAGGATGCATTTCTTGCTTAGAAAGCCTGTTGTTTAATTAATTAGTTGTGTCTTGACTGCAGGAAAAGAAGTCAGAGTTATAGGCTGAAGAGATGACATTTAGATGATAACAGCAGGATAGAAGCAAGAAGCATGGAGGATTGGGAAAACCAAAACCAAACTCACTGCCATGGAGTCGGATCCGACTCAGAGACCCCGCCTTGGGTTTCCAAGGTGGTATCACTACAGAAGTAGATTGCCCAACCTTCTTTCCGAGGAGTGGCTGGTGGGTTTGAACCGCCAGCCTTCTGGTTAGCTGTTAAGTGCCTTAGGCACTATGCCACCAGAACTCCTGGAGGATTGGGAAGGAATGACAGATTGGCTCTAAGGTCTCTGATTGAGTGAGGACAGGATTGGTGAAGCCAAAACTGAGGGAACTCTGACACTTGCTTTCACAGAGTCCTTAGGAGAAATTAATCACTAGTAGCTTTATTCCAGCTCAGGGGATTTTACCCAAATGGATGAGTGTTGGCACATTCTGACAGCCACAATGGAAGCTAATGCCTAGGAATGGCACATCCTTGCTAATCATAGTACCATTTGGGCCCATGACAGACATCACTAATCAATCCTAGCTTGTTTTTTTTTTTTTTGTGGGGGGGCCTCAGGGTGTTTTGTAGCCTCAGAGTCTATCTTGATACAGCATTCCAGGTAGCCTCTACCAATCAGTTGGAGTTGGCATTCAGGATGGAACTTGGTTGCTGTCTCTGCCCCGGACAGATCGGCCATGGTCCTGTATGTGGGGAGCACAGGTACTTTGTACCTGACTCAGAACCTTAGCCTTTCGGAGTTTGAAAGGTCCGTAAAGATCCCCTGGCCCCCATCCCATCATTGAACAGAGACAGCTGAACCCAAAGAAAGGATGTGACAGTTCCAGTGGGAGAATGGGAATTGGAACCCAGAATTCCTGATTCCTAGGTCAGGGCCCTTTCTGCCCTCATGCTACCTTTATTTTGCCACTCCAGCTGAAATTGTCACAGCCCTCATCCAGGTGGCTGCTGTGGTCACAGGAAGGAGCTCCATTCACTATTCCAGTCCACAGAACATTTCATACAGCACCACATCCCTTAAACTTTGCTTCCTCTTTTAGACCTTGTTCTTAGGCCAGGGCTTTATCTTGCCCCAGGCACTGCCACTGGTCATGTCCTGCTCTGGAAGTCCCCCAGCAGGCCTTGGGCCAGGCCAGCTCTCCTGCTCATGTGCCTTTTGCTCATGTCTCTGCCTCTGCCCACCCCTGAGTGTGTCTGGTACACACCCATCCTGACGTCCTCCTTTTCTGTGCCTCAACTGTAGATGTTTCTAATAAACCCCTACAATACTCATTTATACTTACTGTTCACATTTCTATCTGTCCAGTAGCACAAGAACCAGTATAAGGGTTCATGCGAATTTTTCTGACTCTTTCCTCATTATGGGAGCTCAAAACCAAAAAACCAGACTCACTGCTGTTGAGTCAGATCCGACTCATAGCAACACCTCAGGTTTCCAAGGAGGTATCTCTGCAGAAGTAGATTGCCCAATCTTCCTTCCGAGGAGTGGCTGGTGGGTTTGAACTGCCAGCCTTCTGGTTAGCAGTCAAATACCTTAGGTACTATGCCACCAGAGCTGAATGTTAAATACATGAATGGGTAGGCCTTAATGCATTTTAATCATGGCAAAGGAGAAATGCAGGAATGTTTTTTTTTTCTTAATGCAGATAGTCATTGAGCCCCCAGAGTCTTCATTTTAAGTATTTTTCCATAGAGGAGTATTGCTTATATTACATTTGACATCAGAGAAAATGAATGCTGAATGCTAGCACTTGATGCTCCAAGTGACCTTAAGTCAGGCACTTGAACACCCAAAGACTCAGGCAAAGGTGCAGGTACTGAGGCTGCTCTATGTTGCAAGTAACATAATCCGACTCAGACTTAATCAAGAGGGATATTTGTTACCTCCGATAACATGAAGTCCAGGACTGGTGAATTCAATAGATCATTTTCAAGGAGCTTTGGGCCTTTCTGTCTTTCTGCTCTGTTGTCCTTTCAAATTGGTTTATCTCCAAGCTAGCTACTCTTGTAAGAACCTGGCTGCAGCCTTTCTACACATCAGCCCAGACAAGAAAATATAAGCAAGAGGGATCATGTCCTTGTTGTGTGCCTTTAAGAATATAGAAAACTAAAGATTTATATATGGAAGGAAATTTTCTTTGTTGGTTACTGGGGGTGTGTGGGGGATACTGTTAGTTAGGTAGAGACAAGTATTGATTTGGGTGAAGAAAAGGGCAATGTACCAAATGTGAGTAGTCAACATGGTGGCATTGAGGAAGAGGAAGACAGGTGTGTGGGAGGTTCACACAGCAAAGATGAACCCTTTTGCACATACAGTACTGTGTTGTCAGTGAAGGCAAATATTGATATACAGGTGGATAGGTGGGTGAATATGCTGAACTATTAGGTATGTCCATGCAGGGGGAGTGTGCCCAAGACCATGTATAGGGTTGGCAGACAATGTTTCTATAATTGTATTTGTATGTTTGGTAAGTATTCCCAGGTATATAGTAGAGCTGACAAGGGGCAAGGTTGAGTCCCTTCTTGGCCACAGCCAGCTACCCAGAGGGAACAAGTAAGTAGTTGAACCTGTGGGCTCGGAACCATAGTTGCAGGGGACATCAAGCTCAATTGGCATAACATACTACACAAAAACATTGTTTCATATCCTACTTTGGCGAGTAGCCACTGGGATCTTAAAAGCTTGCAAGCGACCACCTAGATGCAACGATGGGTCTCTCCTCATCCAGAGCAAAGAAGAATGAAGAAAACCAAAGACACATGGAAATAATTAGTCCAGGTGACTGGTACACCGTGCGATCCTCAGCCTATGTACACTATGAAACCAGAAGAACTAGATGGTGCCAAGCTACCACTGTCAACCACTCAGAGGGGGATCTATGTAGGAGATCCTAGATAGAGTGGGAGAACAATGTAGAACAAAACTCAAAATCATTCCAAAAAGAAAAAAAGAGACCAGGTTTGCTGGTCTGATAGAACCTAATGGAACCACTGAGACTATGGCCCCTAGATGCCCTTTAGGTCTGGAATTGAACCCACTCCTGTGGCTTGCAGCCAAACAAAAGACAGGCATATGAACTGAACATTTATAATAGGTAGATACACTTCTTAGATCAATCGTGGGAGAATAGAAGGGCTGTGTATGCACAGGGAGACAGCTCGGGTGAGGGGGCAGGAGTGCATGGGAGGAAAGGACAAAGGGAAGAGGTAACTGGGGAGGAAGTGGGAGGGGAGCTGTTGCATTGTGGAAAATTGCAGTCAATGTCATGAGACAAACTATGGGAGCTGCTGTATGGAAGGTGAATGTGTTTTGTAAACTTTCACCCAAATCACAGTAAAAATTTTAAAAAATATATAGAAAACTCAGAACTTCACCCCAATCAAAGCAGGCTTCCTTCATATGTCATTGGTGCAAAATTTCTTCATGTGTCCACATCTTTCTCAGTAGTGACAAGCATGGGAAATGGGATGACTCTGATTGGCTCAAATGGACCAGAAAACAGCACTGGGGCTGGGTGGGGCCAGCCTTTCCTGAAGTACATAGTGTAGGCATTGGAAGAAAATGGGGTTTATACTAGAAAGGAGGAAGGGAGTCAGTGTGGAGAAATTGGACATTGGGTGGGCAACCACTGATGTCTGCCATAGTCCTGAAGGCAAA